TTTACACTTAAAAATATCACCCATACCCTATGTTCGTCCTTCAGATATAAAACGGCTGCAGATGATTGGTCTATTTGTTTTCCCGTGATTTGTGATTAGAAAAGGGTTGGAAAATCATTATAACAAAAATTGTAAATGAGTTCTTCTACGCAAAAGTAAAAAAAAAACAAAATTTTTTATCAATTTAAGAACATTAAATTGCTTGCTATTACTGACTCTGTTTTCTTTAACGAAATAAAAAAAAACGAACGTGCTTTCAGATTAACATTGTCAAAGATGTCATGTATGCTCATCAACACCATGATCAAATAACCTGATATGCGAATTATATAATGTTTTATTTTAGATTTTCCAAAATTCATTGACCTTACTGGCAAAAACCAATAGAAAATCAAAATATTTGAACAGTGCAAGACTGGCACATTCTATAAAAAAACCAAACAAACAAACCAAAAAAAAAAAAACAAAAGGAAAACTATCACTTAATGCGTAGACTTCAATTGATCACAAAAATTATTATAATAATGTGTGAAAGATTCTCGTTAAAGGAAAAAAAAACTATTCATCTACTATCTCTGCAGTAGATGATAAAATAAAGAGTTTGCAGAAAAGACCTTGATATCGTGAAGTTGGCGCTAGTAGACGACCGCTGGATTAGTTTTGCTTCAATGCACATAGCACCTGTCAAATTGGTAAAAATTGTGATAAGGCCTCACCAATAAAATTTCTTGTTCGTCGGACCCGCGCGCTCGTATTTTAGAGAAACGTAAGAAATAATATTATTTTTAAATATCCCGCTTCCAGAAATTTTCGTTCCAATTCCCGCCCCATTTTTCATTTTATTTTAAATACTCGGTCATGTTTGCGTTTGGAATTGAGATGAAAACTTCACATTTCCTCAAAAAACAAGACAACATTGATCGATTTGCAAGAGAAAAGACACTTGCGACTGTTGACACTCTGATGTTTTGACTATTGAATTAATATGACAGTATATGACGTTAGAAATCAGCGCAAACAGGTGATTGGGGTGAAACTATCTGCATTTAGCTCCAATGATGCACAGTTTTAAAGCATGCTTTTAGAGATACGACAAGGTAACAAGTAAACCTTATAACTCCATCGTGACCGTGGTGAACTGTGAGGATTGGATAGAGCATATCTGTTATGTTTAGGCAGATAAGCCCATCATAGACATACATCAAATTCTGGAGATGCCTAAATGTAAGTGTAAGGTATTAACATTATTAAGATTAGTAAAAGATGCAAATATACATTTTTTTTAATAAGTATGTACATTGTATTAAAAACTTTTTACAAGTTGCATTTATTTTATTTTAGGGAGACTTCTTTGGGATGTTGTGTGTTGAAGCAACTAGTTCCATCAAGAATGGGTGGTTTTTCCTGAATTTCTACAGTGAAAATAACTGGACTAAAACAACGAGAACTGTCCATATAGTGCAGACTTATATCAGTCATTCAAGGAGGTCTTCAGTTGAACGGTCAACCATACTGATAGTGCATGAAAATTATAGGTAGATAATATTTCCATGAAGCAGTTTAGAATCGTTTCCATCTCAGGCAATTAACAGATTCCAGGTTTACATGTACTAATTCCAAGCTGTTGTGGATCAACCAGGAGAAATTAAAGTATCCATCGTCCTAAATGATCTGCCGAAGTAGCTTCCCATAATTGGCATAATATTTAAACATCTTTGGTACTTTATTTTAAAATATATATCAGTCAACTCTTGAGAATAGAAAAAAAGTCTTGATTTTAATGATATTTTCTCATTTTATAACTGAAGTTCAACCTTGTTATTTTGGGCTCTCTGCCAATTATATTTCATTATATATTTGTGAATTACTATATGTATTATAATAATAACATCACTGCTGCCATAACTTGTCGATGGTTCTACAATGTCTGATTTTTTATTATGTGAATTAAAATTTGGGGCCATGTTAAGCTTCTGAAATAGTGCATAAATACAGGAAAATAATAATGATAGTATTGCTGCTGGAATTGGCCACTTTTATGTGAATGTACATAGTCTTGATCACATCATATTTTGTTATTACTGTTTTCAAACATACATGTAAAAGATGGAGGTAACAAACACTTTTTAAAAGTGATAAATCTCATAAATGTACATATAGTAAACAAAGCAAATCTTGTACAGGGCAAAAACATGGTCCCCTGATAACACCAAAGGTTTGGGGTGCATAGGAGAGTTAATATTCTATATTATTAGGAGGTTTATTTACAGAATTTTGTACCTTTATGAAATAAAAGTAATTAAAGTGAGAAACCATAGTAACAGTATTGTTATGACTGATTTGTTTATGTACAAATATGGAATATTGAATTCTTACATGATGAGGGGCATTGGAAAAGATTTCATCAATTATAGTGATTTACTCTAGAAATGTAAAGGAAAACAAAAAATATATAATCGCTCGCTCCGTTATTTTACTTCACCGCCTGGAAATTATGTTGATTGAAAATAATAATATTATATTTATCAAATCGCTCGCTCGCCCCAATTTTTAGGGGTCAGTTGTCCGAAGAACAAGACATTTTATTGGTGTGGCCTAAGAATAGTTTTTTAATACACATTCTTTCCTCGGCTTAATAAAATGACTGTTCAATAAAAAAAATTCTTGGTTTGTAGAAATGAAATATTTTCTTCTTGATTACTTGACTACTTACCGACTTTTTGTTTTTGCAAGCGAATGGGGGGGGGGGGGGGGGCAGTTAATGAGGACATGGGCAACGTCTAAAGGAAATCTCTTCAAACAATGTGATCATCAATGCTTGGTAATGTTGAAAGATTGCAGATTTTTTTTTAAAGTGGTGGTATAATAAATTCTTATGTATGGTAAATATTTTTGATATGATATATTTCAAATTGGTTTTATAAATATGCTGTCTCAATAACATATTCCTGTATAGAAAAAAATATCGATTATATAAAACTTATTAAAACAAAACACACACAACAAAGGGAATATCAGCAGCATATATAATATAAATTGTTTTAATTTGTAGTACCAACAGAATATCTATTGTTGGAAGCATTCACAGCTGTTAGTCAAAGTGACTGTTAAAATCTTTGATTTTTGGAGACTCTATCATTGCAGTGATGACTTAGATTTTTTCCCTGAAATAATTACGGATACCCGCATGGCCGCATAGTACAAAAATGTACGTCAACCAAACACGGGTAACGTCAATATCCTAGGTGGAAAGTGTATATAGGATCCTTATGGTTTTGGAGCGTTGATTTCTGTTTATCAAATTCTTAAATTCAAAGCCCATGCACGTAATTCAATACACTGACAGGTATAAAATAATAAAATAAAGGTAATTTTGATCTGGAGGTAATTTTGGGTAACGTCACTGCCGTGTACACGATCAATAAAAAATGGACCTAAGGAAAAATCAGATATTTTAAGTATTTTTATTTTCTTTTAGTTTAATACTAGTTTAAACTGCAAATTCTAAAAAATAATTGCTGAAACAGTTGCATCATTATGTTCACTAGTCATAACAATTAAAAATGACGTCATCGATAGAAAGTTCGAAACGTGCTGGGCTCGAGAAATTTGGGGACGATTTTAGGGTACGGACGAATTTAGCAGGTTGGGCACACCCCCCCAAATGGTCATTTAACCACCGTTTGGTGGTCAATCGCCCATATCGGCGTCTTTATTACCTACCAAATGGTGGTCTTTTTTATACAAGTCCAATTTTTATTAAAATAAAGCAAAAGCGCATTTACTTAGGCACTGGGGAATTTTAATTAACATATTCCTCGCGCATTTAATACAATTTAGTCAATTTTCCATGTGGAATTTCTTTGGAACTTCGTAAAAACGAACCCTACAGTTGTTCGTGAAGGCCGAACTATTTGCTCAAACAATACGAAAAATTATTTTGTTTTGTATAGTTCGGTAAAAATTACATTTAGACAAGAGGTGTTAGTCTAGAGAAGTTACTTTTCAAATGATCTTTCAATCTGCGTCTATATAAATCTCTATAAAATCCCGTTAAACACGAGCTCCTCGTATCTTATTCGTATGGTGGGCACTTACTGCTATAATATTCATTTTTGCTACATTTGAATGTAACATTTATTCTTTATTTTCTTTTAGGATGAAGTTACGATTTCTGTGAGACCCTTTGTGTATTAGTATGCATATCTATGATGTATCTACTATATTTAATAAATATTTTTGAATAAAAGATTTAAAAACTGACAGTTGCAATTATTCTTTTTTTTATTAAAAGATTATAGTTTTCAAGCGATTATTTTATCACGAATTCGCTGCATATCGTATTTTTGTAAAAAATAAAGCCATTGCATACGAAATAAACGAAATAAAAGCAAATTCTTACCCTTCCTCTTATTTTACTCCTTGAAAATAAACACTTATGGGCCTCCGTAGCTAAATCAGTCTTTTGACCCAAGTTCGGAAAAGATCGTCATTTTTAATTGGTTAAGATAATTGATCGGTTGCCCGAATGACAGAAATATGAAGTGATAAACACGATTGATAGGTGCAACTACGCGCGAGGCGGAGGGAATTTTTCTTTTTTAAGTTAAAACACAGAAACGCTACTCTTGTTTACATAGGTGACGATTTTGTCAAATATTTGAACGAAACCGCGCAAAAAAGTCCGCATTGAAATTCGTTCAAAATTTAGAAAAATATCTATATTTTATTCCCCGTGAGTTGAAGTTATGCGCCATTTCACGTCATTCCAGAGAACTGAACAAAACGATTTTTCTCTCCCATTTGGTAGGTAATAAAGACGCCGATATGGGCGATTGACCACCAAACGGGGGTTAAATGACCATTTGGGGGGTGTGCCCAACCTGTTTAGGGTACACGACGATATAAACCTTTTCCGAACCGGGACTTGTTCCAAGGTTGTATGTTAAGCATAAACAATTAAATGATACAGAAAAAAATAAACTTTTAAAAATACTTGCCTTTTTCTCCAAGTCAAAATACGTACTTTCACTTCACAGTTACCGTTTTAAACTGGGTCTCTAATCCAGTAAATTGGTTCTCCCTCGACTTAAAAGAGAAAACCGGTCCAATAAAGAATATACTTTTCCGTTAAAAGTTGTTAGTATTTAGTTCCAAAGTCTTTTTACAGGAAATGCAATTTTGGCATAATCGATATTTATTTATTTATATTTTATTTATTTAACAAATGCTTATTTTTATGATTATGGAAAGATAACTCTTGTAGAAAACAATATGTGATATATACTTTGATTAAAAAAAAATCAAAATGAAAGCGCCTCATTTAGTCATTATCGCTTTTTAATTTAATGATTGTATGCGATATGTAGAGGATAAATATTATTTTGAATTATATGTATATTCTTTACATTTCTAATTTTATTGTAAGATAAATTTACTAAAAGATTGTCTTTGTATTCACTGTGGGATATCAATTTTCTTTATATATACTCTCTTCTCATTATAACGCGGGTTCCATTGTATCGCGGTATCCCTAATGTAGATTTTCCAAAGAGTTTGGAAAAGTTTTGGAATTCCATGGAATTCCATTCGTTTCCATACAAAACTCGAAAAGTGTGTCTGGAAGTTTTTGAAATGTTTTGGAATTTGAAAAAAAAAATGGACTTAGACATTTTTTGGCTAGTAAATTAGTGGAATTCTTTGGAAAAAATTATAAAATGAGAAACTTAGCCATTTTCTGCGCTGGAAAACTGTGGAAAATTACTTTTAAACAGTCGACTGATATTACAATAACATCGGGATCAATTCGCAGAAGGATAAAACGTACGCTGAACTAGGACCTGAGGTCCCCTGCTCAGTTCACGACTATCGGGCCTGTTTACTCCGCTACAAAATGTAGTGCGTTGCATACGTAAAGTGAAAATAGAATAAATCGTACTACTGTAAAGCCTTTAAAGTGTAAAACAAACAACTTTTTAAAAGGAATAACCATCTGATGGGTATTAGAAAAGATAGAGGGGGTGGAGGGTGGGTGCTGAGCAACATTAACTGCAATTTTATGCGATATATGATATATAAGCGTTCAACATTTATGGATTACGTTAGGTGACCTGTGGTCTCCCCTATGATTTTATTCCATGTTACGTTATAGTACACATCAGTAGGGGACAACAGTAAGGTGACCAGAGAACAAGTAATATTGTACATCAGTAGGGGGACCAGAGGTCACCTTATATTGTACATCAGTAAGGGAACAAAAGGACACCTTAATGAACATCAATAGGGGGACCAGAGGACACCTTATTTGTACATCAGTAGGAGGACCAGAGGACACCTAATATTGTTTATCAGTAAGAGGACCAGTGTGTCACCTTATATAATACATCATTAGGTTGACAAGAAGTCACCTTATACTGTACATCAGAAGGGTACATCAGTAGGGGGACCAGAGGTCACCTTATACTCTACATCAGTAGGGGGACCAGAGGGCACCTTATACTGTACATCAGTAGGGGGACTAGAGGGCATTTTGAATTCTACATATGTAGGGGGACCAGAAGACACCTTATATTGTACATAAGTAGGGGACAACAGAAAGGAGGCCAGAGAACACCTTATATTCTACATCAGTAGGGGGACCAGAGGTCACCTTTAATTCTACATATGTAGGGGGACCAGAGGTCACCTTAAATTGTACGTCAGTGGGGGGGGGGGCAGAGTTCACCTTATACTGTACATCAGTAGGGGACATCAGTAGGAGAGCAGAGGTCACCTTATATTGTACAGCAGTAGGGGGACCAGAGGTCACCTTAAATGGTACATCAATAGGGGGACCAGGAGTCACTTTATATTGTACATCAGTAGGGGGACATCAGTAGGGAGAGCAAAGGTCACCTTGTATAGTACATAAGTAGGGGGACCAGAGGTCACCTTAAACTGTACATCAGTAAGGGAACAAAAGGACACCTTAATGAACATCAATAGGGGGACCAGAGGACACCTTATTTGTACATCAGTAGGAGGACCAGAGGACACCTAATATTGTTTATCAGTAAGAGGACCAGTGTGTCACCTTATATAATACATCATTAGGTTGACAAGAAGTCACCTTATACTGTACATCAGAAGGGTACATCAGTAGGGGGACCAGAGGTCACCTTATACTCTACATCAGTAGGGGGACCAGAGGGCACCTTATACTGTACATCAGTAGGGGGACTAGAGGGCATTTTGAATTCTACATATGTAGGGGGACCAGAAGACACCTTATATTGTACATAAGTAGGGGACAACAGAAAGGAGGCCAGAGAACACCTTATATTCTACATCAGTAGGGGGACCAGAGGTCACCTTTAATTCTACATATGTAGGGGGACCAGAGGTCATTTTAAATTGTACGTCAGTGGGGGGGACCAGAGTTCACCTTATACTGTACATCAGTAGGGGACATCAGTAGGAGAGCAGAGGTCACCTTATATTGTACAGCAGTAGGGGGACCAGAGGTCACCTTAAATTGTACATCAATAGGGGGACCAGGAGTCACTTTATATTGTACATCATTTGGGGGACCAGAGGCAACCTTATATTGTACATCAGCTGTAGTAGGGGGACCCGAGGTCACCTTATACTGTACATCAGTAGGGGGAGCAGAGGTCACCTTTAATTCTACGAATGAAGGGGGGACCAGAGGTCACCTTATATTGTACATCAGTAGGGGGACCAGGAGTCACCTTTTATTGTACATCAGTAGGGGGACCAGTGGTTACCTTATACTGTACATCAGTAGGAGAGCAGAAGTTACCTTTAATTCTACATTACCTTTAATTCTACATATGTAGGGGGACCAGAGGTCACATTATACTGTTCATCAGTTGGGGGACTAGAGGTAACCTTATATTGTATATCAGTAGGGGGACCAGGAGTCACCTTAAATTGTACATCATTTGGGGGACCAGAGGCAACCTTATATTGTACATCAGTAGGGGGACCTGTGGTCATCTTATATTGAACATCAGTAGGGGACCAGAGGACATCTAATATTATACTTTAAATCAATAGGGGGACCAGAGGGCACCTTATATTGTACATCAGTAGGGGGCATCAGTAGGGGGACCAGAGGTCACCTTATATATTGTTCATCAGTAGGGGACCTGTGGTCACCTTATATTGAACATCAGTAGGGGACCAGAGGACACTTAATATTACACTTTACATCAATAGGGGGACCAGAGGTAACCCCTGTATTGTACATCAGTAGGGGGACCAGAGGTCATCTTATATTGTACATCAGTAGGGGGACCAGAACACACCTTATATTACACTTTAGATCAATAGGGGGACCAGAGGACACCTTATATTGTACATCAGTTGGGGACATCAGTAGGGGGACTAGAGGTCACCTTATATTGTATATCAATTGGGGGACCAGAGGTAACCTTATATTGAACATCAGTAGGGGGCCAGAGGACACCATATATCGTACATTGGTAGGGGGACTAGGGGTCACCTTATATTGTACATCAGTAGGGGGACTAGAGGACACCTTAATGTGTACATCAGTAGGGGGACCAGAGGGCACCTTGTATTGTACATCAGTACGGGGACCAGAGGACACATTATATTGTACATCAGTTGTTGAACCAGAGGACATCTTTTATTGTACACCAGTAGGGAGACCTGGGGACATCTTATATTGTTCATGAGTAGGGGGACCAGGGGTCACCTTATATTGTACATCAGTAGGAAGACCAGAGGACACCTTATATTATCCATCAGCAGGGGGACCAGGGTCATCTTATATTGTACATCAGTAGGGGGACCATAGGACTTCTTATATTGTACAACAGCAGGGTGACCAGGGTACATCTTATATTGTTCATAAGTTGGGGACATCAGTAGGGGGACCAGAGGGCACCTTATATTATTCATCAGTAGGGAGACCAGGGGTTTCTTATTTTGTACACCAGTAGGGTGACAAGAGGTCACCTTATATTGTACATCAGTAGTGGGACCATAGGACACCTTTTATGTACATCAGTAAGGGGAACAGAGGTCACCTCATATTGTACATAAGTAGGGAACATCAGTAGGGGGACCAGGGGTCACATTATATTTTACAAAAGTAGGGGGACCAGGGGTAACCTTATATAGAACAACAGTAGGGGGCCAGGGGTTACCTTATATTGTACAACATTAGGAGGACGAAAGGACACCTTATATTGTACATCAGTAGGAGATAACAGTAGGGGGACCAGAGGTCACATTTTATTGTACATCAGTAGGGAAACAGAGCCTTCAGTTCAGTTTTAACGTTCGTTACTGGGTGGACAAGAAGTAAACTTATATTGTACAACAATAAGTTGACCAAAATTCACCTTATATGTTATTTCATTATGGAGACTTATGGTCATCTTTATATTGTACAACAGAAAGGGGACCATAGGTCACCTTATACTGTACAAAAGCAGACATCAGATTATATTGTACATCATAAGGGGAAACGGAGGTCACTTTATACATCAATAGGGGGTCAGAGGTCACCCTATGTTGTAGATCATTATGAGGACCTTAGGTCACTCTATATTTTACATCACAAGGGGGACCAGAGGTCACCTTGTATTGTACATAAATAAGGAGACCAGTGGTCCCCTTTGTTGTACATTTTTAAAGAAATCAGACATAAAAAATATTATATGAATGCAGAGAGATAAAGCATCAACGATTCTAGACTCGTCTTAACCAACAGACACCTAAAAAGAAAACAAGGGCGGACCAGTGGGTACAGATAAAATGTATATTAACGAGATGCTAGACGTTCACTTAAGAACACGACAAGAGGCCTATGGTTCTTATAGGTCATTTGAACATCTTGTAAAACTTTAAAAACTTTCATTTTAAATAAGCGGTAATAATTAACAATAATTAGTAGTGCTCATTGACCACAAAAACCCTCATCCTGAGGTCATACATTTCACAATTTTGTAAAAAGGACCATTGTTCATAAAAAAAATTGGTTTATACCAAAGAACAAATTTCAAAGCATTAATTCAATTACAGTATTGTCTACAAATGAC